AGAGAGAGAGAGAGAGAGAGAGAGAGAGTCTAGTGAGCGTCTTAAATTCACTTTCAGGTAAGTGAAACTGGCTTGTTACCATCAAATACAGTTTGGAACTAAACACACTCAACAACATAATGATAAGTAACACTTTAATTGATCTCGTAAGGAAACACGGTTTACAATGGCTAACATAATTTATAAACATATAAATATATACACACTAATATACCCGTTAATCAACGTTTACACATTGCGCCATCAGACAATCTTACAACACTGCATTTCTGGTTTCTTCCTTGTTGCCTTTTGTCTTTGAGCTTGTCTTGCCCAAAGAGACACTCCAATGACCACCTCCCTAAACAAGGTATCATCAACGTTTGTTCGACATTATGACTTGGTAATGTTATAAGAAAACAAAACCACAACAATAAACATCCCACCCCCCCCAAAAAAAAAACATTTAAAAAATAAAAAAAGAAATTCTATTTGTAATAACATATCATATATGTGGGAAATGATACAATTTCACACGATGCCAAGTGTTCCAAAGAATTGAAACGAAAAACTACAATAGTTAAAGACAGTTTGACCAAAATTAATGAGTCCAATCCTGAAGAAAGGAACATCTCAATGAATACAAAAATATGAGTTTCAAAAGATTATGTGTGGTCAGCCCTTTTGTAAGGCTATGAATGCTGGACAATACCACAGATAACGAAAGGGAAATTGAAGCCACTGAAAATCAAAATTAAATGTTTTCTTAGAAGACTGTCAGAGAATTTCAAGGAAGAAAAAGAAGGCAAATGAGGTTGAGCTGAAAAAAGCCCGCGTTGGCCGTTCACTACTAAAACATCTTGGAATAGACAACTGTAGTTTCAGCACTACTTGGATAGACAACTGTAGTTTCAGCACTACTTGGATAGACAACTGTAGTTTCAACACTACTTGGATAGACAACTGTAGTTTCAGCACTACTTGGATAGACAACTGTAGTTTCAGCACTACTTGGATAGACAACTGTAGTTTCAGCACTACTTGGATAGACAACTGTAGTTTCAGCACTACTTGGATAGACAACTGTAGTTTCAGCACTACTTGGACAGACATAAAGGCCTTGAGCACCTTGCTGTCACTGGATAAAAATAGAAGACAATCAAGGTAGGGTAGACCAAAAGCAACCTATTTGGAAAACCTCAGGGGACTCGGGGATGAAGTACATGTATATTTTATTGAGCACTTCCGCCTTTCTGCAAGGGACAGTGTTCCAAGTTGAGTCCCTCCTGGCCTTGACAAGTAAAGTCGAAGGAACTTGGCTTCTAAATAAGTTGTGCCAATAAATGGGTAGAAAAACTATTTACAATCGTTACATTCTTACAGTGCTGGACGCGATCGGTCTGCAGTCTGTCTCACTGTAGAGACAAGAAATGTGCCTGATCAATCAAGTTTCTTTCCTCGTCTTGATAGAAAAAAATCTTCATTGATTATTGGAGGTCTCAGGCTCAGTGCCGTTATACTTGAAACTGAGACACGACACAAACACACGCAAATATATACACATGCACACACACACACACACACACACTCACACACACACACACACACACACACAAACACACACATACACACACAAACACACACATACACACAAACACACACAGATATATATATAGAGAGAGAGTTAGTGAGAGAAAACGAGAGAGAGAGGAGAGAGAGTAAGCCAGGAGAGAGAGAGAGAGAGAGAGAGAGAGAGAGAGAGAGAGAGAGAGAGAGAGAATAAGAACGATAGAGAAATTGAAAACCCCCCAAAGAAAGGAACGGGGATCAGGTTTCTGCCGTGTCTGGATTTTCAGCACCAATAACATTGTTGAGAACAAAACCTCTTACCCCGGAGAATTACAGCGCTCCGGAAGAGGAATCATTCTTTTGTGGGTTAATGGAATGGTATTTTGTGTTTCTTTTTTACCATGTGTTTCATTAGGTTCCCTACATTGATGAACTGGTGAGCACGAGCCAAGAGGCGGTCTCGTCTACACCACTGTGGTAAATTAAATCCGCTTTGTGAGGAAAGTATCCTGCTATGTTTTATATGTTTTTAAAAAATCAAACAAACCCATAAGAGAGAAATCCTGCCATTTATCCTCTCGGCTTTGGGAAAGGAGAATCGATTAAAAAAGGTTTTACGATGTTTAAAAATGGTTTACGCCCCAATTGACGCCATTTCAATCATTAAGAGACACGCTACCCCAAGCCGTCATTGTCTAAACCAGAAGAAAAACTGGGGATGAATCATTTTCCACTTTTCAGAGTCGAGTTCCTCTCTCTTGTTTGTTGTATGAGGACCATGCGAAGTGGCGATTCGAAAGGAGGAACTGTCTGTCTGTCTGCCTGCCTGCCTGTTTGTCTGTCTGTCTGTCTGTTTTTCTGTCTGTCTGTCTGTCTGTCTGTCTGCTTGTCTGTCTGTCTGTCTGTCTGTCTGTCTGTCTGTCTGTCTGTCTGTCTGTCTGTCTGTCTGTCTGTTTTTTTGTCTGTCTATCTGTCTGTTTTTCTGTCTGTCTGTCTGTCTGTCTGCCTGTTTGTCTATCTGTCTGTCATTCTTTCTGTCTGTCTGTCTGTCTGTCTGTCTGTCTGTCTGCCTGCGTCTTAAATTAGGTTGAACTCATTGCTCGCCACTAAGCCTCTCCTCTATCGCCACCGCCCCCTCTCTCTCTCCCTCTCTCTTTCTGTCTTTCCCTCTTTCTCTCTAGTCATTTCTATCCATTAAAACACATCCACCCGGCATCTGCACAATATTGGCTTGTTAAATGTAGGAATTGCTTCCAAACGTTAGCATTGGAATTATACCAATAGTGGACGAAACTGTAAGGATTCAGACATTGGGTACTTGATTTGGGAGTTTGAGGTCGCTCCCCCTGAGGCGAGGGAACACAATATTATGTCTAAATTGTGCCCTCTCGACTGGGGTTCGAGGTTCCTGTGTCAGAATCTCCGCAAGCTCAATTGGACTCGAAAAGAATACTCGAGGCAAATGGTCAGGGATTA